GGCACAGCAACTGGAGGAGACTCAGTGGTCAGTGTGTACAGGCTCGACCCCGGCTGACGGGTAAACGTGGCCAAGTGTCGGCCCGTCCGAGCACACGTGCAGTGGGTCACCCGCTGACTCGCAGGAGTGAACTGGTGAACCCCTCCATCCTGGAGGTCAGCTCCCGCCACCAAGTTCGTAGAGAACGAGGGGAGGTACAGACCTGACAGGGAGCCAGACAAGGCCGCTGGACACGGTAGCACAGTGGAGTAGTGGGCAAGGACAGGACCCCCAGAGGGGTCTGCCAGGGAGACCGCAACCGGCCGACTGAGCGGCGTGAGGGTGGTGCGGTCTCGAAAGAAGGAGCGGGAAGCACCTGAGTCAAGGGTGAAAGTGTGCAACGCCTGAGCAGACGTGGTACCTGAGAGAGCAGACTCACCAGCACCTGGAGCAGCAGACTCACTAGCACCTGGAGCAGCAGACTCACTCGCACCTAGAGCTACAGCTGCACCGCCACGTCGGGCGGAACACTCAGGTAACAGTCACCCTCATCACTAGTAGACATAACATACATGGCAGCAAGGATAGCATCATAGTCAAGATCAAAGATAGGAACCCCCGACCTAAGCAGATCATGCCAGCGAGGGAGCTCAGTGGCGTCAGGGAACCGGAGACACCATGCGTCTGTCAGGCGGCCGAAGCAGCGCTGAGTGGTGTGCGGGCCGCCACACGGCTCCCCGGTGCGGTCACCAGTACGTAGGACGTAGGTACAGGGACCAGCACCCCCAGGCCGCTGACGCCCAGCGTACCACTGGTGAAGCTGCTGGGGTGGCGGGGCCTCACGAGAGCGCTGCTGCTGCTGACGCTGGCCACCACCGAAGCCTCCTCGCTGCGCGGAGCCACCCCGACCAGCGCCACCGCCACCGCCGCCACCGCCGCCACCGCCACTGCCGCCACCGCCGCCACCGCCGCCACCGCCGCCACCGCCGCCACCGCCGCCACCGCCACCGCCTCCACTCCCACCGCCACCACCGCCGCTGCCTCCGCCTCCACCGCTGCCACCAGAGCCCCCACCTCCGCCACCACTCCCACCTCCACCCCCACTCCCCCCGCCGCCTCCTCCGCCACCACCACCACCCCCGCCAGCTCCTCCAGCACCCTTGCCCCCCTTGCCCTTGCTGTTGCGACGCTTCCCGCTAGCAGCAGACGCAGCGCCAACCGACCTTCTCAGTACCAAGGAGGTCGACAGCAGCAGCAGAGGCAACAGAGGGCAAAAGGGGAACGGGGGAGCACCCCTCAAAGACAGGGGTACGAGGGTCACCTCGAGAGGCTCCTACAGCGACTATGCTCTTCTCAGCTGCAAGGAGCTCCTTCTCGAGGAGGTCAACGGTGAGAGTGGTGGGGCAGACAACGAGGAAGTGATCCCTGACCGAGCGAAGGGAGTCAGGGAGCCGGGTGACTAGGTAGTAGAGGGTGATGTACATGGGGGGGGGGGGTTCTGGGCGCGGAACTCAGCAGGAAGCGCAGCGCGGTAGCGGGTGTCACTAGTGCGGAGGTGCGTAATGAGGTCAGCGACTGTAGCAAAGGCGGCGAGGTCAGGGAAAAGGTACGGCAGCATGAGGCGACTAAGGGCAGCAGAAGCAGGGGAGGAGTAGTGCGCAACAACAACGTCGTACAAGGTCTTAGCACTCTTGTACTGACTAAAGTGCGCGCGCTCAGCGGGCGGCAGGTGACTACGCACAGCAAGACGAGCAGCAACATCGCGTGTGTTCCAGCGGGAGCGAGCAGTACTGTCAGCATCAGCAGCAGGGGCAGTAGAGGCACCAGACGTGAGATTGAACAGTGAGACATCGTCTTTGCTATCACACTGCAGGAAAAGCTGCAGATTATCGAGCCAGACCTCAAAGTCTATAGGACGACCCTCAGCATAGAAGGTAAGAATAGCGGGAGTAGCCATGACAGCAGCAGCAGGAGGCTAGCATGTGCAGTAGCAGTAGGAGCGCGGCTCGGTGCAGCAGCAGCAGCAGCAGCAGCAGGCTAGCAGGAGCAGTTCTCACCAGGGGCGAGAAGGGCAGGCGTACGACTGCGGCAACGGCGGAGCCGCTACCACTGCAGGGCGAGCGCTCCGCGGCAGCTGTAGGGGCGGCTGCTGCAGGGCAGCTGCTCCAGGGGCCAGGGACGGCTGCTACAGGGGCGGCTGCTCCAGGGCCAGGGGCAGCTGCTGCAGGGGCGGCTGCTCCAGGGGCCAGGGGCGGCTGCTTCAGGAGCCAGGGGCGTCTGCAACAGGGGCGGCTGCTCCAGGGGCCAGGGGCGGCTGCTACAGGGGTGGCTGCTCCTGGGGCTTGGGGCGGCTGCTGCAGGGGCGGCTGCTGCAGGGGCGGCTGCTGCAGGGGCCAGGGGCGGCTGCTGCAGGGGCGGCTGCTCCAGGGGCCAAGGGCGGCTGCTGCAGGGGCGGCTGCTCCAGGGGCCAATGGCGGCTGCTCCAGGGGCGTCGCGAAGGGGCCGTGAAAGGGGGGGCCGCGAAGGGGCCGCGAAGAGCCGTGAGGTGGCCGCGAGGGGCCACGAAGGGGCCGTGGAGGGGGCCGCGAAGGGCCGCGAAGGGGCCGCGAAGGGCCGCGGCGGGCCTTGAGAGGGCCGCGAAGGGTCGTGACGGGGGGCCGCGAAGGGGCCGCGACGGGCTGCGAAGGGGCCGCGAAGGGCCGCTAAGGGGCCGCGACGGGCCGCGAAGGGGCCGCTACGGGCCTTAAGGGGGGCCGCGAAGGGGCCGCGACGGGCCGCGAAGGGGCCGCGACGGGCCTGAAGGGGGGCCGCGAAGGGGTCGCGACAGGGGGTTGCGAAGGGCCGAGAGAGGGGCCACGAGGGTCCGCGTAGGGGCCGCGAAGGGGCGATCTAGGGGCCGCGACGGGGAGGGTAAGGCCACTAAGTGGCCGCGATTTTCAGGGCAGGGCGCAAACGCGCTTCGGGCAGGCTAAAAAAAAATCGTGTGGTGGGCCCTAGGAAGAAACGGTCCCACTAGGGAACCCGTTCTATACCATGTGGAAGAGAGAGGAATGAAATGACTAGGAGAGAAGTGGGTACAAGTAGGAAACCCTAGAAATGTTGTACCCTATAGTGTCTACCCCACTAGAGCCTAGATATGCAATCTCATATAAGTTTGACAGGTTTGTTGTGTTCAGTACCGGTGTGCTTTGAGAAAGAACATTCAGTCGCATTCACTTCTAAGCTGCAACCTCTCCATAATAGGGCGGTGTGCTTTGAGAAAGAACATTCAGTCGCATTCACTTCTAAGCTGCAACCTCTCCATAATAGGGTGTGGTGCCATCAACCAGACTACAAAAGAAAGGGAAAATATGCTACAAGTAACGAACTTGGGACTCGATAACGTAAATGGTACCAAAAAAACGCGTACGGTCACTGTATCGGATTTCCAAACGAGTTTGGTAAGTGGGGTCACGGATTCAGTCACTAACAACAGGTAAAAAATCACGCGAATGGTCACACATGTAACTCCCGCCAAAAAAACTTGAAACTCAACAAAATTCCCGCTCGCCCCCAACCAATCTGCGAACTTGTAAAAAAAACTAAAACCCAATCGGAATCGGATGCGGTTCGGGAACGGATCAACCCTAAACACCTGGCGAGTTACGTGGTAGGGTTGATTCATCCGAAAATGCACCCAGATTCTTTTTGGGTTTCATTTTGTTTTGGCGGGAATTTCATCTGTGACCATTCGCGTTTTTTTTTTACCTGTTGATTGTGACTGATTCCGTGAAACTCTTTATCAGTCGCGTGAAAACACCCTTTGCAGTGACCGTACCCTTTATTTTTTTACCAACTGTGTTATCGAGTCCCATGAAGGTTACGAATGGCATATTTTCCCCAAAAGAAACTGCTGTTAACTGATCATGATTCCTGGCTTAGGGTTTAGGGTTTAGGGTTTAGGGTTTGGCGCATCAAAAGCGGCCAATATCATTGATACTCAGATTATGCCAGACGCGGTTCACAAACGTAATCAACCGACATTCTCTCGGTATAGTAACTACATTTACAATTACATCTAGTTTTAAGCACAATGTTAAAACAAAGTCGCCACCAGCACCTCAATCTCACGTACCCAACAAAAGGAAAAATACTATAACGCTTGGATATTAGCCTTAAATGAGCCGTCAAGTGTTTAGAACTATGCCTTTTGCTTAAATTATCTCAACAAAAAAACGACACCATCCAAACAGGGCTTGCTACTCACATGCAATAAAAAATAAACTCCATACGGAAAGGCATCCAGTCCGGATGGCATCAACCTTAAACACCTTGTCGCATGACATTCAAGGTCGATGCCTCCTTTACATAACATGCCATTTGATGTGGTTCTGTTTTATTTCAGCAGGTCCATGGTCGACGGAGGGTTGACGGTGCCGTCGACCCCATTCTGTTGAATTATTCCCAGTCTACATCCTTTTTCCTAGTGTTTTTTTTTTTTAAACGCAATTTGCGCTTGATAGAATTTTTATTTATTGTGTAGCACCACAACACAATTGTTCATATTTAACTTAGGTGATCGCGTTTTGTTTCTGTCACATTTCGGAGGAGTTATTAGCGGGAAAGTGTGATTGAAAAGCGAGGACCAATCAGCGATGAGAAATCGAGGTTGAGTACCGACGCAAACTTTCTCAGCCATACTTTGAGGATCAATGATATTGGCCGCATCAAAAGCCTTGTGCGTATTTGGGTGTGGATGAAAAGCTAGCCTTCTGCTGAGCATATAGGCTGCTGAAAGTTGTGTGGTGGGAGCACTAAGTTGTGTGCTGAGCACATAGGCTGCAGATGCCTTTGACTGTGAGTCGTTATCCCTGAAGTAAGAGCGGATCGCGTCGTATCGCGGATTGCTGCTGGCTCGGGAGTTAGTAGGCACTCAGCAGCTTCCGCGAACTGATTCGTGCTGATTCCGCGCTACCATTACCACAGAATCCCCCACGCAGCACCTTGCGCAATTCCGCGTCGAAGCGCCGCTTGCGGAAGCCATGGCGCTCGCGTCGCTCGCGTGCGCGTCTCCTACTATCGCCGCGTCCTCCCTCGCCTTTGCCGCAGCGCGCGCAACCTCTTTACGCCGTCACTACGCCTACGCCGCTCTCGCGCTGCGCCTGCCGCTAATGCGGCCGCCGTTCCCCGCGCTTCCCGCCGATCCCTCCGCCTTATGCGTGCGCAACCAGCCCCCGTTACGCGCACAACCCCAACCGCAAGCGCAGTCGCAGTCACAGCCGCGACTGCACGTTCCAATGGCGGCTAGCGGCGCGGGGAAGGGTTTTGGGGGTAGCAGTGGAACATCCGCTTCCAGGCGCAGCAGCGCCGGGGGACGCGGCGGTAGGGCGGGAGGAGGAGGCGGAGGCGGAGGCGGCGGAGGGGGAGGCGGAAGGGGGTTGGCGGATGCGCGCAGCAGCGACCCCGCGGAGGCTTTCGGGTTGCCGGAACGATCGGTGGCGCTAAACGAGCTCATGCGCGTGCGTGCCTCTCCTTTTTCGTTCTCGATTCTCGTCCGGATCGCGCATTGGAGTCGTTTGAGTTGTTTGAGGATACGCTTTAAAACATCCCCTTTTTGTCCGGATGCCCCTCCATTCCGCCGCCTTTTCCGCCGACCAATCAGGTGCTGTTAGAGGAGGAGATGCGTCCGCCGCACGAGCGCATGCAGCACGCGCGCGAGCAGCGCGACCTGGCGGAGGCGGCGCTGGAGACGCGCCAGCGCTGGGATCGGCGGCGGGAGGCGCGCGGGCGGCGCGCGGAGAAGCAGGGGCGCGCGGAGGCCGCCATGGACGCGATGGACGCGGAGGAGGCGGCGATTGCGGCGGCCATGGCGAAGGTCAAACCGGGGGACGCGAGCGGGTGAGTCGCGTGGGGTGGCGTGGCGTGGCGTGATTTGCTTTTAGCTGGTAGTACACAGCAAGGGAGGAAGCGCAGTGTTTAGGGTTCGCAACTTGCTAATTCCAGTTTGGGGTTGACTGGGGTTGACGGGGGTGAGCGCCAGAAGCAGAGGCGCATGGAGATCGCCGCCGCCGGAACAGGCGCAATACCCGCCCTGGCCTCCCCCCTCGTTCTTCTCCCCGCACTCTCCCCTCTCGCCTCCGACCCTTCCCTCTCCCCGCCCCGCGCCCCCGCGTTCCTTCCCAGCCTGATCCCCGCGGAGGAGGAGCTGGCGATGTTCAAGGAGTGGGCTGCGCGCCAAGCAACCCTCCCCACCCCCTCATCCCTTGCCGTCCCCCGTCCCTCTCGCCCGCGCCGCGCCCCCGCTACTTCCCCCAGCCTGATCCCTGCGGAGGAGGAGCTGGCGATGTTCAAGGAGTGGGCGGCGCGCAAGCTGCGGGGCGCGCCCAGGGGCGCGGAGGGCGTGGCGGTGGCGCGCGGGCTGGCGCACATGCGGCGCACGCTGGAGGGCGCGGTCAGGGAGGAGCAGGACGCGCGCAGGCGCGGAGACGCGGGCGGAAGCGGGGGCAGCGGGGAGATTGGGGAGATTGGGGGGAGTGGGGGACGCGCAGGGGCAGAGGGGAGAGGGGACGGAGGGGATAGAGGGGGAGGGGTGAGGGGGAGGAAGGGGAGTGAGGGGAGGAGGGTGGAACAGACGTGGGAGAAGGATCAGCGCGAGTGGGGGACGATGTGGGCCAAGGGCAGTGGGGGGAGGGGCGAGGGCGAGGGGGGAAGGCGCGGATTGGGGGATGGGGTGGCGGAAGTTGTGGCGGATTTGGAGGAGAGGCGGCGGAGGGTGGGGGGAGGGGAAGGGGAGGGGCGGAAAGGAGTCCGGGGAGAGGGGAATGGGGGGCGGAAAAAGGGGAGAAGAGGAGGAGATGGGGGGGAGAGAGGGGAGAGGTGGATATGAGGAGAAGGGAGAGGGGGGAGCATGTGAGGGGAAAGAGTTGGGGCAGTGGAGGGGAACAGAGGGGCGGAAGCTATGAGGGGAGCAGGAACATGAGCAAGGGGAGAGATGTATTAGATGTGCCGTGGTTGCAAGAGGGAGGGAGGGCGGATGGAGGGGTGGGGGAGTTTAGGGATGGAGCAAGGGCAGCAGAGGCAGGAAAGGCAGCAAGGGCAGGATGGGAAGGAAGGGAGGGAAGGGAAGACAATGGGGTTGGGGCTGGTGGTGAGGTGGAGAGAAGGGGACGTGGGCGCATGGATAAGGGGGCGAGAGGCGAGGGGGATGCGGGAGGGATGGACAGGGGGAGGAAGGCACAGCGGGGGAGATCGGCGGGAGAGAGGGAAGAGAGGAGAGAGCGGAGAGGGTGAGAGGGGCACAGGGTAAAGGGAGGGGAGGGGAGGAGGAAGGAGAGTGGGTGTGGGGCGCTGGGAAGGGTAGTGGGGAGGGGCAGGTGCTGCCGTGGGAAGGGAGCAGTGGGAACCTGCAACGCAGCAGCAGTAGCAGTCCTGCCAGGGGAATTGGGAATGGGAATGGAAGCGGGAGTGGGGGAAGAAGTGTGGGGGAGGAGGAGAGGGTGGTGGTGGTGGGAGCACCAAAGGGTGTGAGGGTGACGGTGGGGGCAGGAGGGTTCAGTGCTGCTGACTGGCTTGCACAGGTGAGACGCACATGTTGTTCACAGCATGCACGCACACACGCACACGCACATGCACATGCACATGCACATCCACATGCACAAGCACATGCACAAGCACAAGCACATGCACATGCACATGCACATGCACACGCACACGCACACGCACACGCACATGCACATGCACATGCACATGCACATCCACATGCACAAGCACATGCACAAGCACAAGCACAAGCACATGCACATGCACATGCACATGCACATCCACATGCACATGCACATGCACAAGCACATGCACATGCACATGCACATGCACATGCACAAGCACATGCACATGCACATGCACATGCACATGCACATCCACATGCACATGCACATGCACATGCACATGCACATGCACATCCACATGCACATGCACATGCACATGCACATGCACATGCACATCCACATGCACAAGCACATCCACAAGCACAAGCACAAGCACATCCACATGCACAAGCACATCCACAAGCACAAGCACAAGCACATGCACATGCACATGCACATGCACATGCACATGCACAAGCACATGCACAAGCACAAGCACATGCACATGCACATGCACATGCACATCCACATGCACATGCACATGCACAAGCACATGCACATCCACATGCACATGCACATGCACATGCACATGCACAAGCACATGCACATGCACATGCACATGCACATCCACATGCACATGCACATGCACAAGCACATGCACATGCACATGCACATGCACATGCACACGCACACGCACATGCACATGCACATGCACATCCACATGCACATGCACATGCACAAGCACATGCACATGCACATGCACATGCACATGCACACGCACACGCGCACATGCACATGCACATCCACATGCACATCCACAAGCACAAGCACAAGCACAAGCACAAGCACAAGCACAAGCACATGCACATGCACATGCACATGCACACGCACACGCACACGCACACGCACACGCACACGCACATGCACATGCACATGCACATCCACATGCACATCCACATGCACAAGCACATGCACAAGCACAAGCACATGCACATGCACATGCACATGCACATGCACACGCACACGCACACGCACACGCACATGCACATGCACATGCACATCCACATGCACATGCACATGCACAAGCACATGCACATGCACATGCACAAGCACATGCACATGCACAAGCACATGCACATGCACATGCACATCCACATGCACAAGCACATGCACAAGCACAAGCACATGCACATGCACATGCACATGCACATCCACATGCACATGCACATGCACATGCACATGCACATCCACATGCACATGCACATGCACATGCACATGCACATCCACATGCACATGCACATGCACAAGCACAAGCACATGCACATGCACATCCACATCCACATGCACAAGCACATGCACATGCACATGCACATGCACATGCACATGCACATGCACAAGCACATGCACATGCACAAGCACAAGCACAAGCACAAGCACAAGCACAAGCACAAGCACAAGCACATGCACAAGCACATGCACATGCACATCCACATGCACATGCACATGCACATGCACATGCACAAGCACATGCACATGCACATGCACATGCACATGCACACGCACATGCACATGGCAACACCAACACCCACCACATGGCATGGCACCAAGAGGGCGCGACTGATGTAACCCAGTAAAACGAACATGTTTGCCCTCTACTGCTCACACACCCTTACACCGTCCCCAACTCCCTACTCCCCCACTCGCCCCTCATCTCCGTCATCCCCGCACAGTCTCTCATTCCGCTTCATCACGCACCCATTCCGCATCTGCCATTCCTGCTCCTTCCTCGTTCCCCTTCCCCTCCCATGCTAACCATTTCTCACCTCACAGGATGCCACCTCTCCTCCCTTCCTCACTCCCTCTCTCTCTCCCTATGCCGCCCCCCTCCCCCCCCGCCCAACTCCCGCCCACCTTTCCAGGCGAACCAGAAACAAATTCCTCTCTCTCCCCTGCTCTCACCTCATCACACTCACCCTGCTGCCGCCCATCATCCATTGCTCAACAGCAACAGCAACAGCAACAGTGCACCCAGCTCCTCTCCTACCACCACCACCTCCCCCACGCACCCTGGGATGTCTCCTGCTCTCCGCGCCCTCATCACTGGGCGTGCGGGTGGTGGTGGTGGTGCTTTTGGTGGGGGCATGGGGCTTGCAGGGACTGATGCCTTTGCTGGGCAGAGGGAGTTTAGCAGCGCTGCTGGTGGAGGGGGAGGTGAGAAGCAGTGTGGGGAAGGCGGGGGGCAGGGGGGATGGGGAGGCGAAGCGGGAGTGGGAGAGAGATGGGGAGAAGAGGGATGGGGAGAGAGAAGGGGAGAGGAGGGAGAGGGACGAAGTGGGGGTGGGGGAGGGGGACAAGGAAGCAGAGGTAGGGGCATGGGGCGTGGCACTCGGCGTGGTGGCAGTTGGGGGAATGGCGTTGGGGGAAGAGCCATGGCCGGGTCAGCAGGAGGAGGGACTGTTCTGAGCAGGCGAGGAGGGTTGCTGGGGGGGATTGCGTCCTGGGGGAGTGGCTTTGGGAGGGAGGATGGAGGGGTGCGAAGCATGGGGGGCAGAGCAGGGAGTGGGGGCGGAGGAAGAGCGGGTGCAGGGAGTGGGGCGGTGGGTGCTGGTGGTGGGGCGGCGGCGGGGGTGGGTGGCATGGAGGAGGATATGTGGGATGGACTGGAAAGCGAAATGAGTGCGAGGATCGAGGAGGGAGCAAGGGAAGAGGAGGGGGAGAGGGGAAAGGAGGAGGATAAGTGGCAGAGAGTCACAGGGATACGAAGCAAGAGCGGCACTAGCGCCAGTAGCTCCGTGGCTGCTATGCCTACCATGCCAGCAGTAGTGAGCATGAGCACATCTGCCTCCTTCCAACCCATGACTCGCCCTCCTGCCACAAGCTCCAGCAGCAGCAGAACCAGCACCATCAACACCATCAGCAGCACCAGCTCCAGCAGCAGCAACAGAAGCAGTGGCACAATCAGCAGCAGCACCAGCAGCAGCAGTAGTGCCGCCCGTTGGACACGCGGTCCCGTTTCCCCTCCCTTAGAAGCCCTCCTCTCCTCCTCCCTCCCGCCCCATTCTCCCTCCCAACCACCCGCCACACCCCCTCCCACCTCCTCTGCTCCACCCCCGCTGCTGGTGCAGCGGCCCGCCAGCACAAGCGATCTCACCACCAGCACAACCGCCTCTCCCCCGTTCACTCTCCCAGACAACCTCGACAGCCTAGCAGGCTCAGTCTCTGCGGCGCCTCAAACACCGGTGTTCACTCTCCCGGACAACCTAGACGGGCCAGCAGGGTCAGTCTTCCTGATCGACAAGCCCAAGACCTGGACGTCCTTCGACGTGTGTGGGCGCCTGCGGCACCTCCTGGGAATCAAAAAGGTGGGCCACGCGGGAACTCTCGACCCCATGGCAACCGGCCTTCTCGTCGTGTGCGTCGGCCGCGCCACCAAACTCGCGGATTCCTATCAAGCCATGACGAAGGAGTATACGGGTGTGATGAAGCTGGGGGAGGCGACACCGTCGCTAGATGCGGATACGGAGGTGTGTGAGAGGAGGGAGTGGGAGGGCGTGACGGGGGAGCGGTTGCGGGAGGCGGCGGAGGGGTTTCTCGGGGAGTGTCTGCAGGTGCCGCCGGCGTTTTCGGCGCTGAAGGTGGGGGGGGTGAGGGCGTATGCGATGGCGCGGAAAGGGCAGGAGGTGGAGCTGAAGGCTCGGCCGGTGACGATCGAGGAGTTTGAGGTGTGGCGGGAGGGGGAGAGGGAGGAGGAGCCGCGTGCAGGGGAGGATAGTGGCAGCAGCAGCCGCGATGGTGGCAGTGGCAGTAGCAGCAGCGGCGACAACAACAGCAGTACCACCAGTGACAGCCAGAGTAGCAGCGAAAGCAGCAACTCCTTCTCATCGAGCCAGTACGTGCACTTCCGAGTGGTATGCTCCAAGGGCACCTACGTCCGCACTTTACTGGCTGACCTAGCACAGGCCGTAGGCACGGTGGGGCACCTGGTGGCTCTGAGAAGGGAGAGAATTGGGGAGTTGAATGTGCGGCATGCTGTGAGTGTGGATGAGGTGGTGCAGGCGTGGATTGAGAAGCACCCTGGGGAGGAGGTGCGCGGGGGGAGAGGGGGGAGAGGGGGGAGAGGGGAGAGAGGGGAGGGTGCGGGGAGGGGTGGGGGAGGAGGGGGAGGGAGGAGGGGTGGGAGAGGGGGTGGGAGGAGGGGGAAGGGTGGGAGGGAGGGTGGGTTTGAGGGCAAGGAAGGGGAGTGAGGGGATGGGATGGAAGTGGAGTTGGAAGGATGTGGTTTGAAGGGGTGGTGAACGGTTATACTATGTGCTGCTGTTGGTGGAGAACAGAGGCGGTCAGAGGGATACTGGCGTGCAGACACGAGATGTCACCGTACAGTGGAGAGATTTTTTTGCCTGCTTACCCGCAAATTCTGCGAAGGAGTGAGGCAATGATTATAAAGAGACATGAGGAGATCACATCACACAATGATTTATAGAGGATTCGCCCTTTCTTGTATTATCACAACACTGTAGAGTTTTCTGTAACCGTTCTTTAGCAGGTACAAGCCGAAAGTCTCGCGTCAGCAGGTTCGGCCTGCATTTCCTCCCCGAACCACTGCCAAGTCGCCACCGCACTTTTCGCCACATTTCCGAGCCTCGTATACCCCGAGCTTCTCGCCTAGCCCTGACCCTGCCTATCTAGGTTGTTCGTTCATCCTCGATGTTATTCCATCCAGCGCAGCACCACGTCGCTCGTCTCAATCCTCTCCGTGCATCGCACCTCGCGCTGTTCTCCATCCATTGGCACTTGCCCCCGATTGCCCATCGCTTGCAGTAGCCTTTGGCCCAGCCTGCTGCCGACTGTAGTGCCACCTCCTTTTTGTCGAGACAGCCTCTTACTCCCCCTTAGCATTGCCGATTCTCCACGCTCTACTCGTCCCAATTCTCGCTGCCAGACAACCTTGTGAAGCCCAGCCGAATTCCAGCTGAAACCCTCCTGAAAGCTACTTTTTTGCCTTGCCCTTACTCGTGCTGCCCTGTGCTGTCCTGGCACAGGGCTTGGGCGACGGTGTGCAGTGCAGCGCACGGATCGTAGCAAGCCATTAAATCCTTTTAGGAAGCAGCAGAAGGGGGGTTGTAGAGGCGATGGAGGCTGCAGTGAGGACGCTCGGCGCGCAGCTGGCGGAGATGCGGGGGGAGCTGGCGGAAACGCGGAGGGAACACGCGGAGACGCGGAGGGAAATGGAGGAGTTGAGAGCGATGGAGCAGCGAGTGCGAATGGAGGTGGCGCAGGCGCGGGAGGAGAGGCAAACAGGATCGTACGAGTGGCGACAGCAGCTGGGAGGAGTGCACGCTGCAGTGGATGAGTGGGAGAGAGAAGCAGGAGAGGTGGCTCTGGCTATCAGTGCACTCCAAGGCAAGATGCAGGGGATGCAGGGATTTATGCGCAGCCGTGCAAGCAAGGGGGAGGTGGCGGCAGTGAGGAAGAGGCTGGGGGGAGTGCGGAAGGGCGTGATGGGCGCGGTGAGAAGAGAGGTGGCAGCAGCAGTCAGAAGGCACCAGGGGAAGCAGCCTCAAGGGCGGAAATGGCAGCAGAGAGAGGGGAGAGCAGCTACAGGCGCAGCGAGAGGAGCAGCGAAAGGTGCAGCAAGAGGCGTGTGGGAGTGAGTGTGAGCACAAGGTCCGTATGGCACAGCTGGTGCAGGAGAACACGACTCTCATGTGCGAGAAGGCTGCTGCAGAAGCAGAGGTGAAAAAGCTTTGGGAAGCGTTGGGTGCTGCGGTGCGGAGTAATGATGAAATGGGTGCTGCGCTGGCGGAGAGAGAGAGGGAGCTGGCTCAAGTGAAGGGGGAGTTGGGCGTGGTGAAGGGAGTGCGGTGGTGGCGGTGAAGCAGGGAGAAGAGAAAGAAGTGAGAAGGGAGATGGACGTTAACAAGGAGATCAGAGAGAGCACAGGGAAAGAAAGGAAGGCGTGGCAGGTAAAAGTGTGAGCATCTCTTATGATGCGATGCTTGGATTTCTTATTCCGTGAATTTCTTATTCCGTTTGCGATGCTGTTAACGAATGAAACCACCCCCAATGAAGCCATGATTTCTTCATACATCTCCTCCTCTTTGATTCCTCCTAACCGTGCTGTTGTCCGTCCTTCACCCCCTCTCGCACCCCCCCTTCCCCCCATCTCCACCCCGCTCCAGGCTATCAAATTAGCGGCACAAAACACCGACACAACTCTCGTTCTGTCCGGGTTTCCCTGCCTGTCAGATGCCATGCTAGGCCATGTATCCACCATGACCCGCCTGCAATGCATTCACCTGGACGAATCCTCAGGGTTCAGTGCGGACGGCATAAGGCAGCTGTACCGCCTGCCGAGCTTGACGCAACTGTCCTTCTGGGGCGCAGCAGTCACAGACGAGGCTCTCCAGGGCATCGAGGCATTAATGGACCTAGATTATCTCTACCTCAGTGAAACTGCGGTGGGCGATGCTGGTCTGCAGCACCTCACGGGCCTTGTGACTTTAGAGCAGCTGGTTCTCACTGAATGCTTGCGGGTTACTTCTGCTGGCATGGTGCATTTGGGGAAGCTGACGAGCCTCCGGTTTCTGAATCTGAGCGAGACGAGTGTGAAGGAGGACGGGCTGTGGCACTTGACTGGCTTGGCTGAGCTGTGCTCGCTCGATCCACCGAAAGGGGTTTGTATGAACCAGGAGCAGCTTCGCAGGCAGTTGGGTATTGATCAAGGAGGGGAATAGAATAGACATAGGATGGAGGTAGAAGGGAATTCTCTTTGCAGTTTGGAGTTGTTGTGATGTACGCAGATGTGACACATACATGTACCGGTACTCTTGAGATTATTTTGAAAATATTGGAGAGACCTTTCCCATATTTGTACAATAACACACGAAGAGATATCCCATCATGAGAAATGTAATGAGCTCACCGGTCATCACTGTGGACTTCCCTTAGCGAGGGTATCCCGAACGGCTCGCGTCAGTTGGGCTCGGCTTTGCTCCGAACAAGCTACGAGCCGCCCCCGCACCAATCGCCACCGTACCAAGCCTCGCATCTACCGAGGTCCTCGCCTAGCTAGGAAACCCATTACAAATCATCCTTTCAGCTGAGAAATTCCTCAGTTTCTAGCTGAGAAATTTGCCTATTCCATTTTCAAAGCTCCTTTTTCAAAGCTCTCTTCAGCGCACTTAGAAACTCCTGCTTACGATTTAGACATAATTCATCCTTTCGTTGTATCGTCATCCTATAACAATGTTTCCGCGCTAAGTTCAACTCCTAGAAACAAGCAGGGTCGAGCAGCACCACTTCCTGATTCCCGCTCCTCGCGCCGCCACCGGAGTCCAGCTCATGGCCTCCCAGAACCAGTTTCCTGAAACGCCACAAAGACCCTGTGGTTCTCTTCTCATCCCTAGGAGGCAAATCGCGTGGCCCCTCTGTTAGTAACAAAACACTCCCTTCTCTTGCGTCTCTCCTGCTGCTGCCACTCTTATTAGCTTCGCTTTGGTGCGTCTCAAGAGCTGTCGTGGCTGCCAGTAGCGATCTTCCATCGCAGAGACACCAAACTCAGGTTATTCGATGGGTATTTTAGCACCTGGCGATTGCATCTCTCGTCTCAATCTTCTCCGTTCATCGCGACCTCAAGCTCTCCGTCCATTCTCACTCCCCCTGCCCTCCACTTGTACGGTAGTGCCTCCTCCTGTTTGGTGAAACACCCTGGCACATTCACATGCATCCGCTAAACTCTGCCAATTCTCCTCCTCGCTGGTACTCACCCACGCTTTAAGACCGGCTTGTGAAGCCAAAACGAAACCCACCGAACGCCTTCCTTTAGCCCGCCTAAGCCCCTTAAAATCCATCTCTTGCTTTGACCTTCGTGCTGCCTGTCTGTGCTGCCCTGTCGTGCTGCCCTCTCTGAGCTGCCCTCTCTGAGCTGTGCTGTCCTGTGCACTGGGCTTCGTCGGCGTGTACTGTGAAGCGTGGGAGCGAGGGAAGCGATTGAATCCATTCAGAAAGAAGCAGCAGAGGGGCTGCAGAGGCTATGGAGGAGGCAGTGAGGGCGCTCGGCGCGCAGCTGGAGGAGATGAGAGCGATGGAGCAGAGAGTGCGAATGGAGATGGCACAGGCGCGGGAGGAGAGGCAAACAGGATCGTACGAGTGGCGACAGCAGCTGGCAGGAGTGCGCGCTGCAGTGGCGGAGAGGGAGAGAGAATCAGGAGAGATAGCTCGGGCTATAAGTTCGCTCCAGGGCAAGATGCAGGGGGTGCAGGGATTTATGCGCAGCCGTGCTGGGAAGGGGGAGGTGGCGGCCGTGAGGAAGCGGCTGGGGGGAGTGCGGAAGGGCGTGATGGGCGTGGTGAGAAGAGAGGTGGCAGCAGCGGTGAGAAGGGAAGTTGCAGCAGCAAGGGGGGAGAGAGGAGGAGCGAAGCAAGAGGTGCAAGGGGCGGTGCAGCGAGAAGAGCAGCAAGAGGAGCAGCGAGAGGTGCGGCGAGAGGAGTGTGAGAGTGAACGCGAGTGTGGGAGTGAGTGTGAGCACAAGGGCCTTGTGAAGCAGCTGGTGCAGGAGAAGGCTGCCCTACTATGCGAGAAGACTGCTGCAGAAGCAGAGGTGCGAGAGCTGCGAGCACAGTTAGAGGCGCTGAGAGCAAGCGAGCAGAGAAAGGGGATGGGAATGGATACGGGGTTGCAGCCAGCACAGGGTCAAGAGGAGGCGGGGCGGGTTGAGACTCATGAATGTAAGCAGCTGCCAGGAGAAAGCACTGTAGTGACGGAGAGGGAGGGAGAAGTAGGAGAGATGGGTCGGGCTATCAGTGCGCTCCAGGCTACGGTGCAGGGGGTGCAGAGCGTTTATGTAGGGGATGTGGCTTCAGAAGTGAGGCTGGCAGGGGCATGGAAGGACGTGATAGAAGCAGTGAAAAAGGAGGTTACAGCGGTTGTGATGGCTTTGGTTATGGGGGACGAGGAAGCGGGGGATGGAATGAACGGGGAGGGGTCACGAGTGCTATCACCTATGCAGAAACTGATGGTGAAAGTGATGGGGCCACAATCGGAGCGAGAGTACCGGAGAGTGACGGGGCAGAGAATGTTGCGGGCGATGTATGATTGCGATAACAAGGGGTGTGTGGCGCACCTGGTTCAGGAGAGCTCAGAGCCTGAGTACCTGAAAAAGGCAAAGGATGCATCAGCAGAGGTGAAAGAGCTAAAGGAGGCTTTGGGTGCTGCGCTGCGGAGGAATGATGAGATGGGTGCTGTGGTGGAGGAGAGGGCGAAGGAGCTGGCTCAAGTGAAGGGCGAGCTGAGCAGGGTGTTGGCTGATTGGGAGAGACAATTGACTGAAGCTCCAAGAGAGGTGGACGTTGACAAAAAAATCAGGGAGAGCACAGGAGATCAAAGGAAGATATGGCAGGTGAGTGTGAATGTCTTCCCTGTACTTCCCTTGTTAAAAGAAATATACAGAAAAGGTAAATCGTGTGTGCAATTCAGCTGTTCATTGTGTCTACTTGCTCCTACTCGTGTTGTTTCTACCCTCCCTCCGCCCCAGGCTATCCAAACAGCCTCGCAAGGACAAAAGCTGTATCTGAATTTGAACAAATTCTCGTGCCTGTCAGACTCAATACTGGGCCATGTTTCCACCATGACCCACCTGGAGTACCTTCACCTGGACGAATCTTCAGGGTTCAGTGCATTGGGTATGAGGCAAGTCTTCTCCCTGCGAGGGTTGGTGGAGCTGTTTGTTCGAGGGGCAGCCGTGACAGACGAGGCACTAGAAGGCATCAATGCGTTGAAGAACTTAGAACGGCTCTTTCTAAGCGAAACTGATGTGAGCGATGAGGGTCTGCGGCATCTCCCAGGCCTAACATCAGTGCGGGAGCTGTTTCTGTCTGAGTGCTGGCGAGTCACATCTGCAGGCATGGTGCATGTGGGGAAGTTGAGGAACCTGCGCACGCTGGGGTTGAGAGATACGAGCGTGAAAGGTGATGGGTTGAGGCAGTTGAGTTCGTTGACTCGCCTGGAAATGCTTGATCCACCGGAAGGAGATTATGTTCGTGGTCAGGAGCAGCTTCGCAGACGGTTAGGTGTTGATTAGTAAGGTGGATAGATTGTGAACGGAGGGTGTAGGATAAGTGGGGCTTGTAGTGAAATGCGATGCATTTACTGTAAATCCTTCAGATAGGTTGTTGGCAAGCCTGATCCAAACCCACACCCATGGATGCATTTTATTGAACTATATATAGTAGTATAGCTGCTATGCGTTTTATTTGAACTATATATCTCTGTATGGTTCACAGTGCTTCACGACATTTTACGGATCTGCGCACAACCGGGGAACAAAACTCACCGTTCATGAGCACAACAACCAGCAATTCCACCTGACCGTTTATACGTGTCTGCTGCGCTGCGCACTGGTTCTCTGCTGTCGCAGGCAGAAAAAGTACCGTAGTGAACCGATACCAAAACTGTCTGAAATCTAGTAATCGAGCGTGGTACAGTGCTCGGAAAGGCCTCACTTACAACAGTGCACGCCGTAGCCCCGTGACATGCGTTTCCTGGTACGTGTCGCCTCATTACCTGCGGTTCGTAATTCTCACCATTGCGTTTCGCCGCAACACCTGCGTTTCCAGATCCTTATTGCCAAGCAGATCAGCAGAGACTTTGCCTGATCACTTATTTAGTCGTGCCTTTCACATCACCTTACCCAAGAGTTATCCACTTCCCAAAGAACACAACTCACCTCTCGATTACCGCAACGTTTACCTAGGCATTTGTTCATCGGCATTATGGCTAGACACGCGCTTTTGGCGCTCTCGCTGGCGCTGCTGGTCGCCGCCGCGCGTGCCGGCAGTCCCATCACGAGCAGCACCGCGAACGAGAAGCCCGACCCGAGCAGCAAGAAGGACGACGGGCTGATGACGGAACTTCCCCCGGACATCGCGAAGCAGGCGGCGTCGGGCAACGCGGCGGGATTGACGTACGTGGACACGTCGCAGGACTCGTTCTTCATGGCTGATGTGAAGAAGGCCGGGTGGAACGCGCAGAAGTGCCCGCCGGGTTTGAACAAGGAGCTGTCGGGCGCGTGCACGCCGAAGAACTGCTCCAAGGGCGGCATCGCCGCCAAGTGGAAGACGGCGTACCTGCAGAAGAACAAGCTCGGTTACGAGCTGTACGTGCCGGGTAACCCGCTCACGCTGCTCAAGGCGAACCCCGCGGCGTGCTGCAACACGTGCGCCGCGACGCCGCTGTGCACGTACTGGCAGTACATTCCCGATATTACCATCGACGGCAAGAAGGGCAAGGGCGCGTGCTACCTGATTCACGACCAGATCGACTTCACGTGCGGCGAGATGACCGCGCAGTACAACACGGAGACGAAGCCCGTGCCGCTGCAGGTGCGCATCGGCGGCGAGTGCAACCCGAGCGCCAAGATTCTCAACGACCCGCATCTGGTGGGCGCGTACGGCACGCACTTCGACTTCAACGGGCGCCCCGACAAGGCGTTCTGCCTGCTGACGGACCGCGACCTGCACGTGAACATGCTGCTGCGCGGCTACTACGACGCGCGCACCGACAACGCGGCGCTCGTGGTGGACGGCAAGGCCGTGCACACGTGGATCAAGGAGCTCGGCATCGTGTGGACCGCGGCCGGCTCGGACCACAAAATCCGCCTCGCGGCGCGCGGCGGCAAGCAGCAGGAGCGCGGCGAGGGATTCATGAAGACGATCGAGATCGACGGCGAGGAGATTCCGCGGATGCAGGTGGGCGACACGGTGACGAGCGCGGGCGGGCTGACGGTGCAGTTCCGCGCGGAGGAGAAGGAGGGACCGTTCGACGTGGACTATTATCTGCTCACTATCGACGGACTCGTCTCCCTCGACCTCCGCCTGCGCGTCGCGCACCCCAAGCTGCAGACGCCGACCGACGCCGAGGCGCATATCAACGTGGGCATCGCGGAGCTCGAGCACACGGACGAGATTCACGGCGTGCTCGGACAGACGTACCGCGCGGATCACTCGCAGCGCGCCGCGGATTTCCAGCGCCTGATCGCGAGCCTGCACCGTCCGATCTCCGCCGATGGCGCGGAGGGCAAGGGGTTCCTGGATGGCACACCGCGGTCGTACGAGGCGAGTGACGTGCTCGCGGTGGACTGCGCATACACCGCGTATGGCCGCGCCAGGCAAGCGATGCCCGTGCAGCGGCTTCCGTAAAAGCTGATTCGATTTGGTGACGCTTGATTTGTATTGTACAGTGGGCTAAACGTGGGCTGAAAGCTTAGATTAGAATGCCTCTAGGTTGATTATTTTATTTATTTCTTACATTGTACAAGGTAAAACCTCATCCACGATATTGAATCAAAGCATCCGTTCTGCCCTTCATACAAGCATGCGTTGCTGTCTACCGTATCTGAAGATGTATCTAATCCCAAACAGCGATAGTTAGCATCTGTTCGTCTGGACTAGACTGGGTTGTGCTAGCATGCTAGACACGGCGGCTGTGGGCGGCATCTGGAGCAAGCGCGATAGTTGCAGGCGTGACACATGTGTGCACGGTAACTGCATGCGTGACAGCGAAGAGTGCGGCAGCAGAGCGCGTCGCAGGCGCGGGCACGGTTGGCGCGAAATGCGGCTGAAGTTGCTGCGGGCGCAGTAGGGGGCGAGGAGGGGAAGGGAGGAGGGGAGGAGGGCGGGAGGAAGAGCACTACCGCGCTGGCGCAGTAAGGGGCTCGCTAGCGGTTGGCTAGGAGGGCACCAATTAGCTAGGAGGGTTATGCGGGGTGGAAGCGATGGTCCTAACGTGATGATTTGTGAACGAACGAAAAGCATGAGGGCATACAGGTTGCGTGGCAACCAAATGTGCTCGCTATAGCACAACACAATCTAGTAGAAGACATGTGCGGATCTACAGTGAAGGGTGTGGGGGCAGAGGAGGTCAGAAGAGAGATGGGGTCGGAGGCGGGTGGACAAACCTGACAACTGGTGAGGCAGCGGCCTTGGGTCGCATTTGTGAGCAGGACGAAAATCTGACGTGGAACAAGGCTTTCAGCTCGATATGGGAGAGACCCAGTACCTTCTTTAAGCCGCCATAAAGGGCTTACAGGGAGAACAGCGTAGACCTCCTTAGGTAAACCTGTTTTTCTCCCTTCCCCTCAGTTACGACTGTGGATGTAATATATTGTATAGTGCGTTATACCCCAAAAAAAAAATCTAGTAGAAAAACACATGCAAGTATGTGTACCTGTCCTTGGGCCAACTTTGTTCCCAATTCTGCTAACCGTCCCCATATGTCGTCAAATACAACTTTGAATACGGCAGGTTTCCTTGTTGGGTGGCAAAACAAATTTTTTAAATAAATATCATGTATAAGGCTTTACCTTGTACAAGGTAAGAAATAAATAAAATAATTAACCTAGAGGAGATCTAATCTAGCTTTCAGCCCACGTTAGCCCACTGTACAATACAAATCGAGCACCACCAAATCGAATCAGCTCTTATGGGAGCTGCTCCACGGGCATCGCTTGCCTGGCGCGGCCATACGCGGTGAATGCGCAGTCCACCGCGAGCACGTCACTCGCCTCGTACGACCTCGGCGTGCCATCCAGGAACCCCTTGCCCTCCGCACCATCGGCGGAGATCGGACGGTGCAGGCTCGCGATCAGGCGCTGGAAATCCGCGGCGCGCTGCGAGTGATCCGCGCGGTACGTCTGTCCGAGCACGCCGTGAATCTCGTCCGTGTGCTCGAGCTCCGCGATGCCCACGTTGATATGCGCCTCGGCGTCGGTCGGCGTCTGCAGCTTGGGGTGCGCGACGCGCAGGCGGAGGTCGAGGGAGACGAGTCCGTCGATAGTGAGCAGATAATAGTCCACGTCGAACGGTCCCTCCTTCTCCTCCGCGCGGAACTGCACCGTCAGCCCGCCCGCGCTCGTCACCGTGTCGCCCACCTGCATGCGCGGAATCTCCTCGCCGTCGATCTCGATCGACTTCATGAATCCCTCGCCGCGCTCCTGCTGCTTGCCGCTGCGCGCCGCGAGGCGGATTTTGTGGTCCGAGCCGGCCGCGGTCCACACGATGCCGAGCTCCTTGATCCACGTGTGCACGGCCTTGCCGTCCACCACGAGCGCCGCGTTGTCGGTGCGCGCGTCGTCCGAGTAGTACCCGCGCAGCAGCATGTTCACGTGCAGGTCGCGGTCCGTCAGCAGGCAGAACGCCTTGTCGGGGCGCCCGTTGAAGTCGAAGTGCGTGCCGTACGCGCCCACCAGATGCGGGTCGTTGAGAATCTTGGCGCTCGGGTTGCACTCGCCGCCGATGCGCACCTGCAGCGGCACGGGCTTCGTCTCCGTGTTGTACTGCGCGGTCATCTCGCCGCACGTGAAGTCGATCTGGTCGTGAATCAGGTAACACGCGCCCTTGCCCTTCTTGCCGTCGATGGTAATATCGGGAATGTACTGCCAGTACGTGCACAGCGGCGTCGCGGCGCACGTGTTGCAGCACGCCGCGGGGTTCGCCTTGAGCAGCGTGAGCGGGTTACCCGGCACGTACAGCTCGTAACCGAGCTTGTTCTTCTGCAGGTACGCCGTCTTCCACTTGGCGGCGATGCCGCCCTTGGAGCAGTTCTTCGGCGTGCATGCGCCCGACAGCTCCTTGTTCAAACCCGGCGGGCACTTCTGCGCGTTCCACCCGGCCTTCTTCACATCAGCCATGAAGAACGAGTCCTGCGACGTGTCCACGTACGTCAATCCCGCCGCGTTGCCCGACGCCGCCTGCTTCGCGATGTCCGGGGGAAGTTCCGTCATCAGCCCGTCGTCCTTCTTGCTGCTCGGGTCGGGCTTCTCGTTCGCGGTGCTGCTCGTGATGGGACTGCCGGCGCGCGCGGCGGCGACCAGCAGCGCCAGCGAGAGCGCCAGAAGCGCATGTCTGGCCATCCCGAAAACTAGGGCTCTTGGGAAATGTCACGGTTAGAGAGCTGTATCGAGATGTGAGTATCGCTTATCGGGCTGGATGAATTACTACTTGGTAAGTTGATGAGGAAAGCACTACTTTTGTACGATCAGAGCAAATGCTTCGATGATTGATGGTTTTCCCAGCAAGATGGACCTGGAACCGCAGGTGTAGTGGCACAGAAACCAAATTTAGATTTTCGAACCGCAGGGATGAGGTGTTACAAATGTGATCCAAACGTGGGTACTGTGCACACACAAGCTGAGCGGCCACGTGCGAACCATCGCACTGCCCAGTCCCTATTGCTGTACTGTAGCCTTTCTTACCTGAAAATACGTGTGAAATACATGCGCAGTGGTATAGTGTACATGCGCAGAGGTGTCTGCTGGTTGTCGGCCAAATTGTCAGGGGTTGTACTCGCGGAGAGTTTCCGCGTAAATCCGCTAAGGAGTATCGGCATACGTTGTTTCGAAGCAAAAGCATCTGTGGATATTGCTAGATATTCATAATTTAGTCTGTGGATGGCATGCTAAAATTCTGTTGCTCTAGCATCCTCACTAAAACTGTGGATGTTCTGCAACTGAAGTTTATTAGCCATCACACGTACACAACAGTTGCACAGAATGAACCTGCTACCAACACCAATTTCTTTCTAAGTGCACTCCAAACAACTCACATGCAGCAGCGGGACCACTCAAAACAAACAACTCACGAGTCACAGTTCCCTCCACTGTGAGCGAGAGGAGTGAGCAGCACAGGCATGCCAAACTTGGTCTTGAGAGTAAGAACCTGCTCAGGGCAGTGGCGATACGACGGGGCCACTCGCCACGAGAATCGCAGCACCAGCAGCGACAGAATCACCTTCGCCTCCAGCATCGCAAAATTCTGCCCAATGCACACACGGGGGCCGACACTAAAGGGGATAAACGCGAGCGGATGCGTCGCCGCCTTGTGAATCCCATTCGCGAACCTCTCCGGCTTGAATTCTTCCGCGTCTTCCCCCCACAGCTCTTTCCTCCTGTGCATCGCTGCAATCGGCACCGTCACTCCCACACCAGCGGGAATGGTAAGCGTTTCGCTTAGCTTGGTGCGGGTGTCGCAGCGGCGAGCAATGGCCGGAGCAGGCGGGTAGAGCCTGAGCACCTCATTCAGAACCATGGTCATGACCTTGAGCTCAGCTGCTTTCTCCATTGTGAGGCCTGCCCCGTCTGCTCCCAGCACCTGCTGTGCCTCCTCACGCACGCGCTGCTGCCACGTGTCGTGCTGCGATAGGAGCAGCACGGTCCAGGTGAGGAGGTTGGAGGTGGTTTCGTGGCCTGCGAGCAAGAAGGTGAGGCACTCGTCCATCAGCTGCTGATCCGACATCGCAGGTGCGGGTGGTGCTGCTGCCTTCAACGCTACTCCTGCTCCTCCTGCTCCTGCGTCCCCTGCTGCTGCTCCGTTAGTTGCTGCTACCGTTTCTCCTCCTCCTGCTCCTCCTGTTGCGCCAGGTTCCTCATCCGTGGCCATGAGCATGAGCTCTAGCAAGTCGATTGCTCCCTCCTCCCCTGCACCACCACCACTCCCCTTTGCACCAACCGTAACATGGCCATTCTCTGACCCGGCAGCGGAGGCAGCGGCGGCAGCGGCGCTGGTGAGATGGTGGCGGCGAAGGCGTCTCGCGGCAATCATGTGCATCATGATGCTGCGGATGAGCTGCTCCTGCCTGTCACGATGCCGGTGCAGCGCCGTGGGGAGCAGCCTGGGAGGATCAGGTGGGAAAGGACAGGCGGGACGGTGAGAAGATTAGGAAGAGGCGGGGTCGAGGAGGGGAGGGAGGAAAGGAAGGGAAAGGTGGAGGGAGGTAGGAAGGGAGGAAAGGAAGTGCACAGTGGGAATGGCGGGTGGGTTATGGGCGACGGATGAGAAGAGCCGGAGTGTGCAGGAAATCGGCAAGCAATGTGGTGGAGGAGGCAATGTGTTTCGGAGCTGAAATTTTTTACTGACGTGTTTGAAGGCACTCACAAGAATCCAGGAATCATGGCAAAAGGACTACGAATACTAGCCACTGCCGCCTCTAAATACGCCCGGAACGCCCCCACCAGCACCTCAGCATCGCTCTTCCCTTCCTTCCCTTCCTTCCCTCCTCCCACCGCTCCTTCTCCTCCCTTCTTCCCCTCTCCCGTCTCCTCATTCTCCCCCTCCGGCCCTCCAAGCCTAGCGCCAAAGGCTGCACGGCCTATGACGTCAAGAGTGAGCGTTTCAAGCATGGTGTCGATCCGAACCTCCTTGTCAGGCTCGGCCCGGGCCTGCTTCTCCCAGAGCGACAGCGCAGCTTGGGTGCACTCGAGCATGGTTGGAAACATGCGCTGTTCACGCGGTGGGGGAGGGGGAAGAGTGGGGAAACACAGCGAAGGGGAAAGGACAGAGTGAAGGGGGAGAGGCGAGAAGGAGGTCCCTTTTATTCTACTGACCAAGACAAAGCTGATCATCAACCCAGACAGTAACCCCCCTACAATGCAAGGAACAGGACGACAACACAAATGGCACACAAGGCAGGGACAGGGGCAGGGGCAACACGGGTTGATCCTGTCAAATGATATATGTATTATATATGTGTAGGCTGTAGTGGGGTAGCCAATATGGGGTACAACCCCATTAGGGTTTCATACTTGTACCAAACTTCCTGCTAGTTGATTCATTCCTGCCCGTAGTTTCTGACATGGTAACAGAGCAGTAGGTCCGTAGAACCGTTTTTTTTTTTTCGGGCCCACCTACCGTTGTGGTTACTGAGCTGCCCCACGTGTTGCCTGCGCTGCGCCGCCCGCGCGCGCCTTGCGTCGCTCCTCCTCTGCGCGACCCACGGCGCCCCTGATTCAGTCACCAGTCCATGGCTCAGATGAGGCATGTCTTGCGGAAGCAGGGGCAGGGGCAGGGGCAGGGGCAGGGGCAGGGGCAGGGGCAGGGGCAGGGGCAGGGGCAGGGGCAGGGGCAGGGGCAGGGGCAGGGGCAGGGGCAGGGGCAGGGGCAGGGGCAGGGGCAGGGGCAGGGGCAGGGGCAGGGGCAGCGGCAGGGGCAGCGGCAGGGGCAGGGGCAGCGGCAGGGGCAGGGGCAGCAGCAGCAGCAGCAGGGGCAGGGGCAGGGGCAGGGGCAGGGGCAGGGGCAGGGGCAGGGGCAGGGGCAGGGGCAGGGGCAGGGGCAGGGGCAGGGGCAGGGGCAGGGGCAGGGGCAGGGGCAGGGGCAGGGGCAGGGGCAGGGGCAGGGGCAGGGGCAGGGGCAGCGGCAGGGGCGACCACACACCAGTGCACTCACCTTAAGCTCGCTGTGCTTGAAGGCGGGGTTGATCCTCCTCCTCTGCATGGCCCAGAACGGCCCCGACGCGGTGACCAGCCCGTTGCCGAAGAGCGGGAAGGCGGCGCGGATGAGCGTGGTCTTGGGGAAGGCGTCGTTGTGCGTGATGTAGGCCGCGCGCACGAGGGTGGGGTCGGCGAGAAGGACTCGCGACATGGGACCAAAGCAATACCGCACCACTGGCCCGTAGCTGGGAGCGGGGAGGAAGGGGGGGAGAAAGGGGGGGAAAGGGGGGGAAGGAGGGGGATTGAGGTGAAGTGGGGGACGGGATGACAGGGAGTGGGGAAAGGATGGGGGGACAGGGTAAGTGTTGGGATGGTGCCGACGCAGCAGGACACCAGTGGACTGTAGCTGGGGGGTTGGCAGGAAGGGGAGGGAGGATTAAAGGGGACGGGGAGAGTAGGGGGAGAGGGGGAAGAGGGGGAAAAGGGGGGGATTGGGAAGGCGGTAAAATGGGGGAGGAGTTGGAAAAATGGTGGATGGGATGGACGAGGGATGAGGTCAGTTGATAAGTGGGAGAGAATGATGAAAAATGGAAAGGAGGGCGTGAGCAGCGCTAATGGCATGGCACGGGGACAACGCAGTGGTATATCACTCGATCCCACCCCCACCCCTCCCTCCTCCCCAACCCCTCACCCCTCATTGACACTCCCTCCCCCCTTTCCCCCCCTCCTCCCCACCTGACGACCAGGGATTTCAGCACGTGCGTAGCGGTGCTGGTCGCTGCGATGCAGTTTTAAAGACGTCTCAAACCCTTCCACCGCCACCCCACCCACCTCTTCCCTCCTCTCCTCCACCCTCCCTTCGTTTCCACTTCAATTCTTGTCCCCCTTCGTGTCCCCCTTCCCTTCCCTCGCGGCGCCAGCACACGCACCTGGCGATCAGGGAATCCAGCACGTGTGTGGCCGTGCTGCGCGCTGCAAACGCAACTTTAAAACGACTCAATTCCCCCTCCCTTCCCGTTCCCCTTCCCTACCCTCGGCACCCCACCTAGCGCACACACCTGGCGATCAGGGAATCCAGCACGTGTGTGGCCGTGCTGCGCGCTGCAAACTCAGGGTCCGCCTGACGCCGCTTGCGGAACTGCACGCGCCGACCGGGGGGAGGGAGGGGGCGGGGGAAAAGAGGGGACGAAGTGGGGGTGGGGGGACCGGCGGAATGGAGGGGGTGATAAGAGGCCGTGGTGCTGCCCATTTCAGATAGGCATTTTTGAAGGTCCAGCTGTGTGCATCACAATACAGGTTCGCGCGTCGCACATTACACACACAAACGCAGACGGAGACGGAGACCTAGGCTTGGCTACCACATCCGGAGCAGGTCGCACCTGAAGCGGGTCGCACCTGAACCGGGTCGCACCTGAACCGAGTCGCACCTCGATCATGTCAGTCAGGATGCCGTAGAAGAACCGGAAGGGCGGTCCGGGCACGCCTTGCGCTGCGAGGTCCGCCATGGCGCGGCGCGGCGCGCCCCAGAAGAACTCGTAGGCGGCGGCGAGCAGCGCGGTGAGCAGCAGCGCGAGCAGCGCGACGAGGAGGCTCGCGGGGGACGGCATGGCGGAGAGCAACGGCGCGGACTCCATGGCGCAAGAAACGGCGGGGGAAACGGTTGAGGGAGGTTAAGGGAATGAGGAGCGCAAGTTGAGGCTGGGAACACGGCGTCGCGATCGGTTCGGACGTTCGGAGGGACGACAGGCTAGCGACTCGCGAAAATGACTCCTCTTGACTTGAGGGTACTCAAACAAGAAGTTTGGAGATCATGTCGCGTTAATGGGATAAATGGCGCACGGGAAAACAGGCAGCGCGCAGCACACCAGGCCGTACCCCAGTCGAGTCGGAATGGGGGATGTGAGTGACAGCGTGTCGAGCAAGCTAGGCGAGGGCGAGCGTGAAAGCGAGACCGAAACGAAAGGGTAGATTCCAAGAATGCTCCACACCCAAGAGTAGTCCAAGGTGAGTGACGTCAGCGGAAGCCTGGTGGGAGTTTCGGGCGGACTGTGCGCGCGTGAGAAGTGAACACGTCAGATCAGGGGAATGAAGAAGATGTGTGTTGGCTGGATATGTGAGTAGAACGCACAGCATCGTACTCAACCACTCTTGATGTTTGCGCCGACGACGAACTACCTGGCCGACATGCAAGGCTAGAGCGCTGTGAGTTGGTACACTTCACAGATTCGACTTCAGGTGACGCGTTATTATAGAGGTGTTGATACCTAGGCCATTTTCCGCGTTATATTACCGTATAACCCCGGATATAGGCGCATGTGCGCTTATAATAAAACTGGTTTTTTTAGGGGGGGGCGCTTGTAATTGAGTCACGGCCATAAGCGCCGGCGCTTATATCATGGTCAAAAATGAATTTGTAATTGAAAAGTACCAAATCGAAGCCCGCAATAAGGCGAACACATTTGTGTAACGTGCGCGTGAGGTAATGCATGAAATTCCGCCGAAAACCACCGCGCTTCGATTCCCGACCGCACAAACCCCGTCCAGGAGCAGGGAATCTGCCAGCGCTGACGTGAATGTTGCCATGCGGTCCAATCAGGGTACCATGCGGTGGCAGGCAGCTGCATTTCACCCGAACCATCGAGAAGGCGGTGGAATGACCTGCCAGCGCATCATGTTCGTGCCACGATACCCTCCTCTCCGGGTTCAGACAGGGGGTACCCGTCTCGCCCCGACGAGGACCCCGAGGCGCAAACCAGCAGGGGTCCCTTTGAATCTCTCATTTGTGCACCTTTTCTCTCAGTTTCTTGTTCCGTTTCTTCTTCACTCCCGCCTGGCTGCGGAAGCCATGGCGGAATTCAGCGGCACCCACTTCTTGTTCAAGAAAAAGCCTACTCGAAGGCCCGCGTTTACAGTAGATGCTGACGGGTGGTGCACTCGTATCCCGCCAGATCCACCAGAGCCACCACAGCCTCATGCGCCGCCTGCGCCTCCTGCACCTCCTGCTCCTCCTTCGCCTCCTGTTCCTCCTTCGCCTCCTGCGCCTCCTCTTCCTCCTTCGCCTCTGGGTCATGTGTCACCGCAACACGCTGCCAATCAGCCCGTGCTCACGCTGCTGCTTCCATCGGCGTTCGACGAGTTCCTGTCAGAACCAGAGACTAACAACGCGCCGGATGTGTACGTGCGAGTGGACCACGTGCCTGGAGGACGTTGGGGACAGCCCGAAGATTGCCCTTGGGACGAATCTGCAGTCGGCGCCGACGATGATGTTGCTGACGCTGAGGATGCGAGCGGCGCTGACGGCGCCGAGGGTGACACGGAGGCTTCCGCCGAGGGCGGCGCCGTGGGCGGCACCGCTGAAGATGTGTTTCCAGAAGGCGTTACGGGCGACGGTGACGACGACGGCGTTGAGTACTGGTCACGCGACGGGCTACCTGAGAAACTGCCCATACCAATGTATCCTCCAACTAATCGCAAGCGACCCCATCCATCTTCTGAGAACCGTGATGCCCGCCCCCCCTCTCCCAGGCACAAGCTCACCGAGCACAAGCGGCAAGGTTACACCGCCGCGGAGAAGTTGAAGTGGGCAAGTCGCCTCGATGGGTCGGTGTCGGTGCGCGCCTTGGCTCGCGAGAGCGGAATCCACCGCAAGTGCCTCACCAACTGGAAGCGGGCGGCGGATTTCCTCAAGGAAGTTCACTCCGCCCGGAAGCGCATGCACGGTCGCGGGCGGTCGTCGTGGTACCGGCCGATGGAGTTGAAGGTGTACGAGAAGCTGCTCGAGTGGCGCCGCAAGGGAACTGCCGTGTCAGTCGGCCGCCTGCAGGAGTGGTCGCGGGAGTTCATGAGGCTGCTGTACCCGGACAAGAAGTGGAAAGGAAGCCAGAGGTGGTCGGCACGGTTCCGGCGTCGTTGGAATTTGAGCGTCCGCATGAAGACCCGGGTTGCCCAGAAAACCGCCGCGCGTAAGTGATACCCCGGTTTATGTGCCAGTGTGTTTTGTACGTGTGTACTAACACCCTCTGTGTGTGCTGGTCCTCTCTTCTCCCGCCGTACAAGTGTCGCTGAGCTGTGCCGCATGTTCTGGCAGTTCGTGCGTGACAAGCGTCGAGAGCGCGGCATCGACACCGCGTGGATCATCAACGCGGATCAGACGCCGCTATGGCTGGAGATGCCCGCCACCAGCACCGTGGAGGAAACGGGTGCTCGCTCGGTGCCTATCAGGAGCGCGGGGTATCAGAAGCAGCGAGTGACCGTGATGCTGGCGTGCGCGGCTGACGGACGGAAGCTGAAGCCGTGGGTGTTCTTCAAGCGCAAAACATTGCCGAAGGGCGATTTCCCTGCCGGTAAGCAAACAATTGCCCTCGTCTGTATTTGCGTTCTGTTCTGAGTGCGTGTTCTAACCACACGCTCGGGTTTCGTGCAGATGTGGTCGTGGCTTGCCACGAGAACGGATGGATGGACTCCGCGGGCGTCGTTCGCTGGCTTGAGGAGGGCGTCAAGCCTTTCTTGAAGCCTTGGTTCGGGAGATGCGCGAAGAGCTCGATGCTGGTGCTGGACTCTTACCGCGGTCACCTCACCGAGGAGGTCAAGGAGAAGCTCCGCGAGATAAACTGTGTGCCGGCTGTCATCCCGTCGGGCTGTACGGCGGAGGTACAGCCGCTCGATGTCTCCATTAACAAAAGTTTTAAGGCGTCGGTCCGCCAGCAGTACCAGAGGTGGTTCGAGGCAGAGGGGCAAGCGCAGCTGACCGCGGCAGGTACGGCATGTGTACGGTTTTGTTATGAAGTTCCCCCCCCCCCCCCCCCCCCCCCCCCCCCCCCCCCCTCCGCCTTTTTTTTATGCACTAACGGCTGTCCACCGTTCTCCTGTTACTGTATTTTGCAGGGAATGTGAAGAAGCCTCGACCTGAAGTCGTCCTGCGGTGGATATCTCAGGCCTGGCGGGCAGTGCCGTCCGACCTCATCACGCGCGCCTTCCTCACCTGTGGCATCAGCAACGCACTCGACGGCAGCGAGGACAACCTCGCCATGGCGCACAGGCGGACCCAGCTGACAGCGGAGGTGGATGTCGACGACGACATCATCGCCGATGGCTTCTTTGGCAACAACTGCCTGGAGCCCGAGTCTGACGACGAGGAGGAGTAGGAGGGGTACTGGCTGATGCATGTTATCTAGAAGTACCCCGGCTAGACTAGTTGTAGTTTAGCAACATGATGATGTAGTTGCTATGAAAAATGAGGTTTAGTTAAATCTTTTGTAATGCCTCCAATGTACGTTAACGGATGCGCTTATAATAAGCATAGAAATTTTAGGGGGTGCGCTTATAATCGAGTTCCGGCCATAGGCGCCATGCTCCAGATAGAGGCGCCGGCGCCGTTAATCGGACGGCGCCTATATCCGGGGCGATACGGTATTAGTGCAGAAATGAGACACACATATGGGGGAGATGAAACTTGCTGCTGAGGTTTCCGATATCTACACAAAGGAAAAAGAGGTGAGCAATAGTGTATATTACAAGCACAATGTTACACATGTTCATCCTCAACTCGAATTTCCCAGCGCCCTATGCACTCTAACTTCATGCATCTCTTACACTACTCTAGAACACAAGGTGTGCTAACCTGCAAACACAGAACCTGCATCTACCATTTGCCTCCAGCAGGACCAAAAAAAAACACAGCAGGCAGCAGCTGCACCCTGCGCTACACACCCCTGGCATCCAAAAAGACGTGAGCACACTATTCCACTCCTGCCTGTCGCACCACATGTGCTCCCCATCCCACTGCAAGCCCCTTTCATTGTGTTTTTCTTCAGGCCGCTCCGAGCTTGCGGCCCTGTGCGGTGGCCTCTGCAGCCTTCGCACTGGCCAGCTCTGCCCCCAGGGGCGGCACCACCCCCGCCTGCACGTTCTTGTCCGCCGCTGACTGCAAGGCTGCTGCTGTGACACCCTTCACGGGCTGGGGAGGGGCATGAGGGGAGGGGAGGAGGGGTAAGAAGGGGGAAGGCGAATATAGATGGTCGACAGAAGGGGCTTTTGAGAGAGGACAGGGAAGTATAGACAAAGAATAAAGAGCAAACTGAGGCAGGAGCCGTTTGAGGGCGAGGCATGCAGAGGCTCGGCCAACAAATGAACGAACCATTGAACGAGCTCACCACTTTGTTTGAGTCCATCCTCACTCTCTCTCTCTCTCTCTCTCTTACCATGATCGATGAAAGAAGACTCCAGGAGAGTCATCACAAAATAGCATCATCGATTCCCCTCCCCCACAACTTCACTTGCCACCTCCCAGGTTCTCTTTCCCTCATACAGGGTCTCTGGGGACTCACTCACTCCCTCATACCATGCGGTTTCCCCTCACTACCTCTGGGGAGTCGGGACTCATACCTAACAGCAAATTCTAAACGCAGGAGTCCCTTTCCCCCGACCCAACCCCACCCCATCCATCCCGACCCCCTCCACTTCCCCATCACATCACATACCCCACCAAACTCCGCGGTTTCCTCCCTCTGCTTGGCAGCGGCGTCCATCTTCGTCACGGGCATGTCCAGCGCGCCCGCCTCCACCTCCCCCTCGGGCAGCACGTCGCGCATGCGGATCGGCACCTCAGGCGCCGCCACGCCGCCGCCCATCCTCCCCGCCGCCGTCGTCGGCATGTCATCGCCCTGCTTCGTCGTCCCGCGGCTCGCGGAGCCCTCTTCCCCCTTGGGCATCTCCGCGCCCGCCTTCATAGCGGATGGCGTCTCTTCCCCTTTGAGCATCTCCGCGCCCGCCTTCATAGCGGATGGCGTCTCTTCCCCCTTGGGCATCTCCGCGCCCTTCTCTGTCGCGGACGGCGCCTCTTTCTCCCCCGTCGCGGCGCCCTCAACGCTCGGCGCGCCCGGGGCGCCGCCTTTCTCGCTGCCGCCGCCGCCCGGCGCGGTGACGGTGACCTCTTTGACCTCTCCCGGCTGGCTCTCGAACTCGCGCTTCCGGGTCTCTTCGTGTTCTGATAACATCTCGCTTGTGGAAGGTTCGCGCTCCTGTGCGCGCTCGCGCTGCTGCTGTGCCATGTCGAGAACGACAGCGGGTAGGCGCGAGAGTGGGTGATGAGAAGAGATGGCACTCCGGACGTGCAAACAGGCGGAAAAACGGGATACGGGGCTATTGGATTACCGGACTGCAAGGAATGTGAAAGAGGAGAGAGAGACGCTGGAGCGGTGACCGAAGAATTGGTAACTAGGACCTATGGCGCAGGTGTGGAGAGGAACGAGCACCATTTATAAATGCGCGGCGCGCTTCCGTGACGGCTTTGCAATCGTCGCGGCGAGCCGCGTCGCGACGACGATGGCTTCGCGTCGGAGTCCAAGCAAGCGCGGGAGAAGAGAGGCAGTGCGCGCGGTGCGTGGGAGAGCGGCGGTGATGCGATGGTGCCACTAGCAACGTGCATGACACAGACCGCTGGAGCCATTAGGCGGCGGCTCGCAGTTTCAAGAGCATGACACAAGATAGGAGCGCGCATGGCGGGCATGGCGCGCATGCTGGAGGAATCGAGCAGAAACCTATTCCACGTGCAGGCCGGCTTGTGGGCGACCTATCCGCGACCGCGAGCGCATTCCGCGGCTGTGGTTTTCCGCGCTGGACATACGCAAGGACAGATTTGGCTTGGATGGGGTAGGGAATTGCAGAACAGCTGAAAACGGTACAGTGTGGTTTTTTTGGCCATTGATTCCAAACCTGGCTTTACATGTCTACTGGATTAACTTTATATGATTAAACAGCTAATGACCAAATTCATTAAGGTCCGTCAGATGAAATCAATTACAGTTTTTTCATGTCCTATACCCTAAAAAAAGGGCTGTAGAACCACCACGTAGATTTGGAATTTAATTAGTAGTGCTGGAATTATCACTATATACTGTCCAGGCTCGCTAATGGCACAAGCACCGCAATCTACCCAAATCGGAGGATTTCTCAAAGCGGACGGAAACCCCCTCTAGATTCAACTAGCAGGGGACGGGAGTGCGAGAGCTGTGGGACTCTTCGTATGCTGACTTCCACGACCCCTACATGCCGCTCAGGGTACACCACGTGGCGTCTGCGCATGAGCTGCGACGCCCAGCTAAATCATGCGAATTTTGCGCGGCTCTATTTTGCGGCGCCATGGGCGATGAGAAGGAATCAAGCCGTAGGTCCTTCGCGCCCTTTTTATCTTCAAAAGAGTCCTACCTGGAACTATTTGTCTCCTTGAAGCAGCGCTTGTTCCTTTTCCTAGCACTTCATTCCGAACAGCTTTCGCCTTACCTGAAGCAGCGTACGAGGACGCAGCATCCGTGCAACCCGAGTGATCGCCGGAAACTCCGTTCTCCTCACTGAAGAGAGAGTGCAGACCTTATTCCCATGGCGCAGCGACAGGAGCGCGAGCGCAAGGCTGAAGGAGAGGCCACTTCGCCGATTACGATGGCGGATGTGGCCGAAAAAGCAACGAAGCGGGAGCAGCTTACAGCGCGGGATCGCCCCGTCACCAAGGAGGACGCGGCTTATCAGCAGATGGCAGAAAACGCGGCGCATGGGAAGGTACATAGTAGCAGTCGCATGGTCACCTGTGATTTATCAAGTGGGTTCTATGGCGCGGATTTGAACATGTGGTGTCGAGCACTGCTGGTCCGTGGTAGAGAGCAGTGTGAGTTTGACTGTTCCATGTCTGACCTCTGGAACATCATATACAATGGCTTCCCATATGCACCCAATCGTATGCACGTGTGCGTGCATGTTTTGTGCTCTTACACGTGAACTTGTCTCATTTCTTGGCTCTTGTCACGAGGTGATGAATGTTAGTGAATAACTATCTAAATTGCTCGTTCCTACCCTGTCTCTATCCGTTTCAGACGGTCCCAGGCGGGCCAGCTGCTACTTTACAGTCGGCTGCAGACAAGAACGTGCAGATGGGAGTGCCCTTCACAACCAGCAACCAAGAAAGGAGTGCGGTGACAAAGAAGACACACCAGAGCACGGCTAAAGGTCCTGGAAGGGGCGCGCAGGCAAAGACAGGTCCTGAGTTGGCGAGGGCTGCTGCAGCTATGGCGAGTGAAGGTTTCGAGGGAAAGACTACGGAGGAAGGCGGGGACATTCCTATGAGTGGGAGTAGTGGTCCTGGCAGCTTTAGGGCTGAGCCCAAGGAGGAGTAGCTCCAGTTGTAGGGAATGGTTCAAAATCACTTGAGGTACGTACCGTAATTGTGGACTGGGGGTACAAGTAGACAACGTGTAAATACCGTTTACTTGAAATGTGCACCCTGATTACAATGTGCACCCTGATTTCTCGTGGCATTGTCATCTGGCATCGACTTGAGAGGGCCTGAGCGAACACCCATCTTGCTGTTTCTCCCTCACGTGCTGGTAACTAGTTTCGCCAATCCGTTGAATTACGCTACAATCCTTGCAAAATGTATGTGCTAGCTTCGTTAGTAAGAATAAAGTACCCTGAGCAGATTTGTAATTTGGTACTAACATTTTTCTAGAGTGGTTCTGAGATTAACGTTTCATAAAGAAAGAGACTATATAGCAGCTTCAAATATGTGACTGATTGGTGTCCTGCTCTATGCTATTTCATGTACAATTTAGTGTGGGCAATTACCTCCGCGGTAACACTCATTGAGCTCGTTTGCACGGGAGATAAGCCACGTGTCCAAATCGTAACAAAGGTATCTTCTCATCGCCACCGTGGTAACCAACATTTCCGAAATGGTCAACATTATTGCCTGAATGGTAATGAACAGTGCTTCCGGGATTCCTAGCTGGTAACTTCGCGTTCGTACTAAACTGTACACCGTACAAGTAGGGTTTGACTCAGCCGAAACGAAACTGATGTCCACATGTACTCCACAAAATGCGCATTTCGGGTTATAATACTGGCGTTTATAATCCCGCACGTTAAAACTCCATATGCTAGCTCGAAATCTGATTAAAAACCGAATGCATTATTACCAAACAAACGCCACAAAAAATAACGAACTATGTCAAAACGCAAAACTATGATAGTGACAACTATTATGAAGCAGATTATTTTACTCAACAAGACTTTTATTTAAGAATCTTCAGAGCTCGATCTAAATCAATATAAAAAAATTACAATATCGATGTAAGTTTTTCAGATTTTGCATAAAGACTATGAAATTTGCATAAAAAGACAAACAATTTTCCAAATTATCAAATATTGCATGATATGCTTTGTTGAGAATGCTTATTTAAGTTTTTTTAATCTTGATTTTGTTGTCATAGTTGATTGTATCGCATACTTACATGTAACGCTTTGCGTTTGTAAGCGTTCATGTGCATTCTGTGCTGTACCGTGACATCAGTTTCAGTTTTGCTGAGTCAAGCCCTACTTGTACGGTGTACAGCTTAGTTCGAACGCGAAGTTACCAGCCAGGAATTCCGGAAGCACTGTTCATTACCATTCAGGCAATAATGTTGACCATTTCGGAAATGTTGGTTACCACGGTGGCGATGAGAAGATACCTTTGTTACGATTTGGACACGTGGCTTACCTTCCGTGCAAACGAGCTCAATGAGTGTTACCGCAAAGGTAATTGCCCATTTAGTGTCAATGAAGAAAACGACCTCACGGCCGGGCCTTCTCATTGGCCAATCATGACATGTCAGGTAACTTCCACCACCGTCTTCTACTTGGGATTTCCCTGCCACGTCAAGTTTTCCAACGGACGTGGTTAAATGCTGCCGTTCGGCCGCTATTCCAGAGCACTTAGCAGAGCAATCTGAAAGCTCAGAATTCTCCGGCTGCCAGAGTGGGCTTATCCAGACGGTCGCTGGCAGCCAGGTGGATTTCGCACAGCGTGTTTCGCCTGCTGCCGCTTCCAAAAGGGTTTGGTGTGACGGACAGCGTCGTGATTGGATGTTGTGCTCAGAAAGAGAAAGCTGGGTGGAGCCCCCCGAAATAATTCGCCCCGCCCAACGACGGCTTACGAATAAACGGGCAGAGTCGACGGACGGCTAACGACAATGGGCAGAATCAAGGTTACGAACAGGTAAGCACGAAGAAATCGGGGTGCGCCCACGTGGTGTAGTCTCGGGACAGTGTACAACGGGAGAACGTGGGGGAAAGGATATTCCAGTAAACCATATCCACTTCGACGGGCTCGTTGAGAGAAAAAGTTTTCCCTTGTTTACCTAGGCTGGAGAGTGGAGCGGCTGCTGTGGAAAATCCAGGAAGTGCCGTGCGGTAGAGTGAGGGAGCCATGGAACTGCGTGAACATTCGTTCAGAGTATGTAGTTGGTTTGAGTCGGGAGAGGACAGTCAGGAGCTGATTTTTATCGGCAACCTCGCGTGAAGCGACAGCTAGATAAAGGAGTGAGTCGCTCGATCGATTAGAGTACAAATTGCGCAACTCGCTCTGTACAGGTTTTATTTGCCTAGTCATGGCGGTCGCACAGCGGTGATACGCGCAGTCGCTGATTGTCCGAGCGAACCAATCAAGTGCCGACTGAGAACACACGAAGTGAACCGCCAGTTTATTTGCAACGCGACTCGAGAGACAGCCTTTTCCAATTTCGCCACTCGCTGAAAGTCCATTGTCTTCGAGCTGCTAGCAATCTAATTTCAGTGGAAGGATCAGCGGAGCATTGGTGTCACACGCGCGCGGCGGCTGGCATGCGTTGCTGCTGACCGCGTCGGGTACGAGCAACCATGGCTGCTGTTGAGTCTGCAGCGGCAGTACCAGCACCAGGGGCTACAGCAGGCGCTACCGCCAGCAACGGTCCGCTCCCCAGTTTCACGCAGCCCGTAGTGGGGAAGGCAGAAGCGCCGCTGCTCGCGCTACACCCCGCGGGGCCCAATGCAGGCGGAGGCGGAGGCGGAGGCGGAGGCGGAGGCGGAGGCGGAGCCGCCGCGCAGCACTTCACAAGCGCGCTCTCCGCGCCGTCCGCCGGCGGCGCTCGGGAACCCGCGGACGGGAGCGGGGCTCGCGCGGAGAGGGAGACCTCCCCCGCAGATGCGGACGGTGACGGGGGAGACGGCCCCGCCAGTAGCAGCCCGCAGAGCAGTCCCGCGGCCTCTGGCGGAACCCAAACGCAGGACGGCGGAGGCGGGGATACCGAGGATAAAAAGAACTCGACGGCGGTGCGGGAGGAATGGACGGATGAGGCGACCGACGCGGTGTTGGAAGTGTGGGCGCGAAAGCACCTGTCTTTAAGTCGCGGCAAGTTAAAGAAGCACGAGTGGGAGGAGGTGGCGCAGCGCGTTAGCGAGATGCTCGGGCACGCGAACGCCAAGACGTGGCTACAGTGCAAGAATAAGATCGACTCGATTAAAAAGAAGTACAAGTCCGTGCGGTGCCAGCTTGCCGCGGGCGGCTCGGTCAAGCGCGAATGGCGGCTGTACGACCGAGTAGATTACCTCTTAGGCGGCGGCTCCGCGAGTCACGGGACAGGTAGCATGGGCAGACCTCCTCCCATCGGGTCCGCGTCTTTATTCTCGACCGTGGGCGCCAACTCGAGCAATAGCAGAATGCCAGGTGGCGCCTTCGGAGCAGTTTACGGCAATGCCGCGATAAGTGGCGGGATGAGCGGCGGGATGAGCGGCGGGATGGGCGGCGCAATTGGCGGCGGGATGGTGAATGGGCTTCCAGGAGTCATGGGCGGCGGTATGGGGAGCCTCATGGGGGCCGCTATGGGGAATAACGGGCTCGTTTCCGCCGCGGTCGCCGCCGCGAATGTCGCTCTGGGGACGAACGCAGCTATAGGATCGTCGCGCGTGTTCCCTGGAAAAATGGGGTCGATCGCAGGCGACAACGTGGTTACCGAGGCGAGCGACGACGACGACGACGATGACGACGACGAGGAGGACGACGACGACGAAGGCGACGGAGCGAACGGCGGAACGAGCGCGCAAGGCAGCAGGGGCGGCGCAGGCGCCGCCGCCGGCGGCGGCAACAGCGGAGTCAACCCGCCGTTGCTGCAAGACTCGCTAATGAAGCAGCGGCGGTCGTTTAGCCTTCCGCTAGACCCGCGCATGCAGCACTTAATGGGGAAAACCGCCGCTTCCCCCGGCGGGGGTATGGGGCCGGGGGAATGATGGGGGGAATGCCGATGGCCCCGGGCGGAATGATGGCTGCGCTAGGCAGCCCCATGGGAGGAGCGCTCGGCGCGTCTCCGCACCAACACACGCAACACGCGCAAGCGTACGGGATGGCGGGTGGAATCGGCGCGGGGGGCGTCAACGGCGGAAACCTCACGTCGCCGGGGGGAGCTGCGGGGGCGGCGGGGGGGACCGGCGCGAACGGCGCGCTGCGGCCGTCGGCGGCGAAGATGAAGCGGAAGGCGTCGTCCGCGGCGGTGAAGGACCTGGCGCTGGCGGTGCGCGAGTTCGCGTCGGTATACGAGCGCGTGGAGCGCGCTAAGGTGGAGCAGATGGTCGAAATGGAGCGACTGCGACTCGAGTTCAGTCGCGAGATGGAGGTGCGGCGCATGAAGGTGCAGCTAGAGGTCGCGCGGCTCGCGGGCGGCGGAAACGGCGGCGGAAGCGGAAGCGGAGCGGGCGGGGGAGTGGGAGGGGGAGGGGGAGGCGGAGGGGGTTCGGGACATTTGAGCGCCGCGGCGGCGGCGGCGGCGGTGGACCTGGCTGGCGGAGCGGACGCGGGGATTGCGGGGATGGTGGGGACGGGTTCTGTGCTTCCGCCGGGCTCGTTACAATGACACTCGATAAGAGCACTCTCTGAAGTGCCGTCTAGCCAGGTATGCGAAACGAGCGCCACGCTTCCCCTGTCTCAGCCCCCATGTTACTAGAGCGGAACAGTGGGAATGGAGGGAAAGAAGGAACAGGAGTAACAGAGGCAAAGGGGGTAATAGTGGGAGCATTGGGGGCCAATTTGGCATAAGTCGCTGTAAGCCCTGGAATTTTATGCCAGCCCACGCAAGTCTAGCAATGATCCTTGTTTTATCACAAACGAGGAAATTCCAAGAGAATCTGTGGGGAGGAAAGGAGTGGAATGACCAACTTTCAAGCTTTTTTGCTCCGTTGCCTTGTCTCTGTGTCCTTCCCTCCCCTCTGCCGTGCCCCCTGTCTCTTTCCTACCTGCCCCTACCACAGCACATCACATTGATCCCTGACAACTGCCCAGCCCACACCCACATCCCCGTCTCTGATCGCTCCGTCCTCCACCATTTGCCACTAACTCCTCCACTCCACTCCACTCCACTCCACTCCACTCCGCTCCACTCCACTACACCTGTTCGCCACCCTGACTCTGACCCCTCCCTCTCACCCACCCACCTCACCACCTCCCCTCACAGTCAGCTTAAGGCAGCAACTCTCCTCCTTTCCAACTCTACTCGGCACCAACACACCCTCACCACTCACCAGCACACACCCCACCCCTCTCTCCTCCTCTCCGGCCTCACATTTCTCTCCGGCCTCACACCTCTCTCCAGCCTCACACCTCTCTCCAGCCTCACACCTCTCTCCAGCCTCACACCTCTCTCCAGCCTCACACTTCTCTCCAGCCCTCCGGCCCCACCTGCTACCTCTCTTCCCTTTTAGCGCCTCTCTCTCTGCTCACTCCCACCCACGGCAGCAGCAGCAGAAACAGCTGAATAACCACGACACGCTACTACCATGCCCTCCATGTGACGAGTCAACCGCTCCCCCAGTAGCACCTGAGGGCTAACAGCAGCAGCAGCAGCAGCAGCGGCAGCAGCAGCAGCAGCGATGGCAGCGCCAGCAGCAGCAGCGGCGGCAGCGGCGGCATTCTGCGTTGGTGGTTGAAGCGGGTGCAGTGAGTAGTTGAGGCAGAGAGCCCTCCTTCCTTTCTGACCCGCTCCGCATGGCACGTGTCTCTAGAATTGGCCCCATTCCATTCACCAACATCACATGGCATGGGAGGGGAGAAACTCCTGACCCGTGTAACAATATTATTCTTAATGCCCTTCCAAAGTAAACTCCATCCACCAACAGCGCTCATGTCATGACAGGCAGGACTGCACAAGCAGGAGCATGAGCATGAATGAACGGGGTATGTGGAGAGAGGGACTGGGGTGCAGGTGTGGGGATTCACCTAATTAGGTCCCTGTAGAACACTACTTCTGCAGCTTAACTCATGATTGCATATGATTGAAGCTTTGATTTGCTTAGGTTGCTCATTAACCTCCCTTGCATTTTCGTAGTGCAACTTACCTGGGTTGGTATACAGTTGAGGTTTAAATATGGTATACGGTATAATAATTGGGAGAAGTGAAGTGCTCACATCACAACCACTGCGCATACTTTCAAGCTATACACCTGAGCTTCATAAGTTTTTTCACACATGTCACGTCACATCTAAAACACTCAGTGCTCTCGGATTGGGGGGATATCTGATTCGTTCTAGCTCCAACAAGTACTACACTATGCACTGGACCTTGATCTCCCGTTAGACACAATGATCCCTCACATGAGAGGGGAGCTAAAGGAGGAATTCATGGCATTTTCCCCTTACGGGGTAAGGCCTTTTACGTTATAATGTTTATTGAGGAAATAAGTTGATGGTTGGCCGAATCCACACTCACGATTTTTTGCAGCAGTGTTAATCCACAAAACGCGTATTCTTGCAATGAGGAGGACGACTTTTTCGTCGCGCAGCGTGTGTCAGTCGCAATGCCGTCACAAAACGCGGATGTGCAAAACTCTGCACAGTTCAAGAACGCAGCGTGTTCGGGCAATTTTTTGCTCGCTTGAAAATGTTTGTGTGTGTAGGTGGGGGAGGAGCAAAGTTTGGGTTTTATCTGCCCGTCTATCTAGCCTCTCACATTGTGTTTACATGCATCTGGCGTACATATTGGCTGCGGCCCGGCCCAGTCGCTGTTCGATAGGCCGCTAGATGGTAACCAGCCGACCTACTATCCAATCCTTCCAAAACGGGGCGGGGCAACGGCTATCAAAAGTTGCTAAACAATACCGAACCATCTCTAACCACTCTCAACCATGCTGTTTTTCCTGCAAGCTAGTATAGCCGAGGTCAGTGTAGCGAGAACGAGGGTGCCAACTGAACCGGAACACCTATGACGGGTTCCAAGTGTATTTGATGTCTTTCGAGTCGCATGGCCATGAACCGTTTTTTCATATGCCCCGGGCAGTCGGTTTCCCAACCAGATATAGTGATCCGCTGGACCGCTGCCCATGGTGCTCAGGTAACAGTTCATAAATCCCTTACTGTTGTCACCACACTCACGCTCATTTCCTGGGGTCACCATTTTTCTGGCTGCTCCTTTCTCATCTGCAGCAGCCAGCCTGTTTCATCGCCCCTACACCCGCACAGGCTGCTGCTTTCATTTCCAGCGCCATCGCCATGGCCCGCCGTGCGTCCCACTCGTCGGCGCTGGTCCTCACCTTCGCCGCGCTCCTCTCCGCGTCGTTCTTGGCATCGAGCCTCCCGCGGCTCGCGGACGCAGTTCCCCTCTCGTTCGTGCTGACTCAGGTCCGCAACAAGACCAACACGGACCCTTTTACCGCGAATATAGCCGCGGGAATGGTGGAGTTCGCCGCGGGATACGACAAGGCGGACGACATCGCTGGAGGAACCCTTTTCCTGCCGATCGACACTGCGTGGCCCGCCGCGCTCGATGGATACAAGGCCCTGAACGCGAATGCGACGACCGCGTCGGACCCGCTTCTCGAGGCGCTGGATACGCTGGTGAAGACCAATGGGTCTCTGGCGTCGCTTAACTCCATGTCCAGTGGCGGTCGGAACGCGCTGTCGCGGCTCGCGAAGTTCCTGGCGATTCGCGAGTATCTCGACAACACGAAATTGAACAGCACCGTGAGTCTTTTCCCACACCCCATTGGTTTCATATCTCTTTCACTTCACAAGAATCTCATAAAATAATACTTATCCAATGAACCCTGAAAATCCGTCGCCGTTTACCGTCGTCTCTTTACTCGTCCATCGCGGAAAAGGGAAGGGCGAAAACAACTGAAAAGTTGCTGCCCCTTGCATTGCTCTCGCTAAAACGAAAAAAATTATAATAAAACACCGTGACAGCTCAAGTCACTTGCGAGGTGACTTTCCCGTCTCTTTCCCAACACAAACTGTACGCTTTGCGGAGTCCATTACCGCCGTATCCATCTCCCTCTCTCCTTTCGCGCAGTACAAGAGCGGCCGGTTCAGCTTCAGCTCGCTGCTCAACCAGAACATCTGGCTCTACGGCGACAGCGCAGCTAACCTCTGGTACCTCACCGGAACCGACCCCGATTTCCTCCTCAAGCCCCCTACCGCCAAGCTCGCTGCCGCGGCTGCTCCCCCCCCCGCGCCCGCCTCCTCCGCCGCGCCTGCTTCCGCGCCTGCGCCCTCTCCGCTCGCGGACAATACCGTTGACACGCCGCCAGCGGCGGCGCCCGCGCCTGTGGTACCCGCGCCCACGGCACCCGGGCCCGCGGCACCCGCGCCCGCGGGAAGCGGCACTGGAGCGCTTGTGCCGGGAAGTGGCGCGGGAGGGCCGAAGGCCGTGGCGGTGCTGGCGATTGTTCTGCCTCTGTACTCGAAGAACACGATTCTGGGCGTGACGACGTCGTCGTCTGATGTGTCGGTGAACCTGATCTCCGATGTGGTGTTCCCCAGCAACATGCCCTCGCTCACCTCGTTCGACGCTACCTCCGCTTACGGCACTGTTAATAAGGGTGAGTTTTCATTTGGGAAATTTCGGGCGTTTCTTTTCTGCGAAATGTAATGCAGGCTAGGGTAAGTGGTTCAAAGAGCACAATGGTGCTTTTGAAGTGCTAAAGGAATCCACACCCAGCCTTAAATCACGGTGCACATTCTCCTGGGTGGGCATCATGGGTTATTCCTTGATGCCCACAGTACGGCCAAATTTCGCCCCAAACCTCAAAATTTTTGTTCCCCATCCCCCGCAAATTTCTGAATGTGTACCCCGGTTTTAATTCTTTAGCTTGAACTTACTTTTTCCTTGTGTTTTTGCACCCTCATTTCCGTGGGTGGTGCAGGTGCCAATGCTCTGCTCAGCAACGGAATTGCCCTCCTTGCAGCTCTGATGGCGCTGCTTGTGCTCTTTTGAAAGGAGATGGACAGGTAGCCTGTGTAGCCATTCTTCAGATGGGCAAAGTGGGAGCCATGCTCAAGATTTAGGCGCATATAGTGTGAGTACCCAGAATAGAACGCAACTATACCACTATGGGTTAGTCCCTAATGCGATTAGCTTTGTGGAAAATCGGTTCTATAAGTTATTAGTGCCTGTGAACTCTACTTCAGTTAGGTAATTATCAGAGCACAAGTTTGTTTACAACACAAAGTGCAACATACCGGTAATGGAGTTTTTCATTTGTTGGAAAGTAACAAAATCCCAGCCTGCATGTCCCCACCTCACATCTGTTGCAGGCGCAGCGAATCATGTTGCGGCAGCACCAGTTTGTTGCCAGACACACATTTTTCGCTGGCGAACGAATTTCCGCGCGCCCATTGGCGCGCGACTGCCACTAGGCCTGACCAACCTCGCCGTGGTGGCAGATGCCCGCGCGACCAGCGAAAGGATACTGTGCCGTGCCGTGCCGTGCTGTGCTGTGCTGTGCTGTGTTGTGTTGTGTTCTTGTATCGTGGCTCAAGACGGTTCCACACGGTGGAAAGTGGTTTTCATGTTTTACCGTTCTAGACCGCGACGAAACGAAGTTGACCGCGACGAAACGAAGTTGTTCTACAAAAATTTGTACTACTGGCTGGACCTGAAGTCGGTCGCTGCTGTGTGTGTGTGCATGCTCGGATCGAACAAGCAGCTTGATTCAGCAATCCGCGAATCTTTCCGTGCAAGTCTCACGCTACTTGCACACGCCGCTCTTCCGTGCTTCACTGCTGTTCGTCGTTAGCTTGCGAGCTCCGTTCTTCATTCCGAAAACTACCCGCCGGCAGATGAGAAGCTGGATATTCACGCGGAGCAGCTGCGAACCTGAACGCACCTCTCTGTGCACCCCGTGACGTTGCTGCGACCAGGCACACTGGCGCTGGAAGAGCAACCTTGAGGTTGCCGCGAGTAGACATCGCACGAAAGCAGTCCGGGTAGAAAGATAGGCAGGCTTTTGAAAAGAGTTATCAAAGAGCAGATTCGGCCTGTTGGTATACATAGTACGT